GCAGCTCTAGCTATCAGCAAGGATATCAGGTTGCTGACCCGCAGAGAAATAGTGTCCAGAAAAATTTCAGTTTGGATTTTAGTTTTTTAAATTATTTCATCCCAAAGGTCAATGCACTGGAAGCCTACAGAGATCCCTACCACTTAGGACACCAGAAGTACCACGTGAGGTCCTGCTTCAGAAAACATCAGAACTATTCCACATTGAGAAGGAATCTGAAGTGCCAACCAAAACCTAGCTAGAGCAGCAGCCATCTGACCTGGAGGGGGCAGCAGGCAGGCAGACACGTGCGGGCCAAGAACATACCAGTCTGATTGACACAGCACCCTCACTGCCCAAGAGCCATCACTTGGCTCACTCACCATATAATGCTTCATGGCCCTCTCAGATAACTCTTTGTCCTCCTCAGCATCTGGGAGCAGCTGAAGCAGCTCGCTGCTCTCTGGAAGCACAATCTCCCAGCGGATGGCGTCCCTCAAGTCAAAGCTGAGATCCTAGGCCACAGAAGAAACCCACTTAACTACAGGGCAGTCTCAAGGTCTTAAGCCAAACTGAACGCTGCTCCTGCATGGCTGCGGTGCTCTGGACCTGGCTGGGTGTTAGAGAATTACAGGACTCTAGACAGGCTCTGGATCGCAGCAAAGTGGGCTCATCAGACCCTTGCCTGGCTGGTGGGACCCCATAGACCGTCCCTGTGCCTAGAGGGCTGCAGACCCCTTTTCTCATGGTGCCTCTGCCACAGATGAGAGGAAGTTGCTGGAAATGCTTCTGCCTCCTTCCTCAGGGCATGCACGACCTCATCCAGCGTCATTCCCATCGGCCTCCCAGACTTGACATCAGCTGGGGAGTAGCTGAGCTGTGGGAAGAACCTAAGCAAGATCATAGAATCATAGAATGGTTAGGGCTGGAAGGGACCTTCAAAGGTCATCTAGTCCAACCCATTCTATGATTCTATGATTCTTTCCTGCCTTGAGCCATGCTTGACAGGCTCAAAACATCCTCCACCTTAAAAGCTGTTGTTTGAGACAATGGATGTCCAGCCAGCCTGAGAAGCTGATAATTCTTGCACTGTAGGGTTTAACGGGTGTGACACCTGTTTGCTAGCTCAGAGTTTGGGATGTCCTGGAGCAGTTCCAGGGTCTGGGGAATCAGAGCAACACGACCAGAGCCAACACAGGCAATGGTAGTTGGAAACTGGGATCACCACCCATCTCAGGCTTCCCCAGGACTCAGCTTAGCCCAGCTGCCCCTCCCAGGCACAGGGTGCGTAAGGGCTCTTTACCTTGCAGCCGTTACGGCAGTCCTGCATGTTCACCCAGTAGTTCTTGTGGTTCCACACGCTCTCGATCCCAAGGAAGCGCTTGTCCGCGGTGCTGTGCCTGTTTCCCGTGAAGGGGTCGATGAAGAAGGCCTCCCTCTGCCCAGCCAGAATCAAAACCCAGGCATGCACCCGTAAGCCATGCAGAGGGTCATGCTTGGGCTTTTCCGATTCCTGCAGCACAGAGGTCACATTATTGCCACTGTAGCACCACTGTAGTCCAGTCCAAGAGCAATCTTATTCTCTCCTCTGCCCATTTCTAAAGATCTCCAGGCCCTTAACACTCTTCAGAAGAGCGATGTCGTTCATACCCAGTACATATTCCGGAGCCAACACACACGGTGTTCCCAGAGGCCGAGCTCTCATGGCCATGGTCAGGGTTGTGTCGTACTTCAGGGCAGAGGGTGGCACCTCCTTTCTTGAGACACATTACCTGTGTCTCAGCTCTTGCTCCTGGAGTTTACAGCGAGGTGGACCCATTAACTCACCATGATCTTCTCCTCTTCTCTTTCGTTGTCCTTTTGAGCAGTTTCAGTTTCTGCTGTCTTCAACAAGGCAGCAGAAAGACGCTGAAACTTGCTCCACAGCTCTGGTCGGGGCTTAACTCGGTACTTCTTGGGCTGCTCCTTCTCTTCTTTTGGTACCTGCTTCTGCAAAAGCAGGGTAGTGCTGTGAAACCCAGCAGAGATCAAGAGAAAGGAGAAAATGTACAGCTTACAGGTACCTCCCAGTTCCCAACACTCGGCAGTTTGCAGTACTGGACCTGGTGAGCAGGAATTCAGTGAAGCCAAAGAGGCCTCTTAAGGAACTGTGGAAAATCACTCAAAAGATCCCTTTGGTGAGGTCCCTGCTTGGTACAGACTGAAACCCAGTGTGGACCTGAAGCTGCTGCCCCTAGCTCAACCCTGGGGCTCAGGCATGCTGGGCTCCTCCCTGCCTGTTCACTGCAGGTCTCACCTCCTGTGGCTTCTTGAGCAGTGGGCAGAGCTCCAGAGTCTGGTCCAGCTGGCAAATTTCACGGGTGGCATACCCGTGAACGCAGTAGGCATCATGCCCGACCCCGAGGAGCAAAGAGCACAGCAGCACGCTGAAGTCAAAGCAGTTCCCTCGCTGGTACTTCACGATGGTGGTTGGGGAATAGAGTGAACTGGGCTTGAAAGAGACAGATGCATGTTCTCAGTGCTTGTCTTGTGAAGTGGAAACAAGCATCAGGCAGAGAGCAGGAGAGAGAGAGGGCACGGCCCACATCCCTGGGCTTTGCACCCATAGGGAATCTGTTCTATAAAATTCCTATATAAGCCACAGACCCCATAAGACCCCTTCAAACTGATCTGGGGAAATTCTGACCCCCAGCCTGGTGACAAATTTAACCATAGGGAGAGACGGGCAGGACAAACTTACCCAGCTGCTGAAAATCTAACGCTAACCACAACTCTGGAGTGGAGCTTACCTCCGTCTCTAGCTGGCAGATCTGCAGCATTTCCGAGCAAAAGACCCACAAACTGAATCACAGTTCAAAGGAAGGAACGTGCTCCCTTCTGGCCCTCACCAGTGACCAAGCAACGGGATCAATACACACCTACTGCATCTAGAGAGATTCTACACAGAGAGTCTCCTCCCAGATCTCGGTCACCTTCGCTGACCAAGCCAGTCTCCGTCTGCTAAAAGGAGACACATTCTCCGTGTTCGCAAAGTGCCAGAGTTCCTCTTGACACCCTGGGACTCTTGGGACACACTTGGCCAGCATGGAGCTGGTACAGATTGTTTGGGGCACTCTGCAGGGCACCAGCAGCCCTTGCTAGCAGAAAGCGTGTTACCTTTGCCTTAGCTGATTCACACCAGCCAAGAACTTGCCCCAACTCTGGCATCATCCCTTCTTGTCAGTCTAGAAATCGCCCTTCAGCCACACCAAAACATCCCAAAAATTTGAATTAGAAATGTCTAAAGCCCCTAACAACTAGTCTCTGAGGTCAAAGAGCATCCCCTGGGCTTTCTACGCTCCTTTCTTCCACGGCATCTTGGTCTTTGGAGAGGAACTTTGTCTGCCATTGCAACCCACAGCAGACCAGCTGGTCATCTGGGGTGACTGGGCACAGCGCCAGGCCCAGGCTTGCAGAAATGGTGCTTAATTGCTTGACAGATTCAACACTGTACGTGTACTGGGATTAGGGGTCCAAGCAGAGCACACAAGGCCTGGGAGAACTGGGGGGTTGCCTAAGTAATGCGGCGATGATGGAGGGGACAAAGACCTCTGTAGCTCCAGCAACTGGGTTTCCACATCATGTCCTGCTGAGAGGCCCTTCTCTCACCTCCACTATGGGGCTGTTGCTGATGGGACTGCAGCCCCTTTCTTACCAGTGCGACAGGGGACTTGAGTGGCTCCATGGTCAGGAAATCAGACACGAAGCTGGCACAGCCATCCCACGGGTACAGGTCTGCATACGGCAGGACGGTCGGCCTCAGCGTTGTGCTCACAAACTTCTGTAGGGCGACAAGAGGACTTTGGTTAGCCAACAGGTGCCTGGCAGAGTCTCCTGTCCAAAACCATCCTCGGACTACCCCTGGATGTGGCAGCTCACATTCAGGACCTCCCTAGAGCATACCAACAGCCTCGGTGACCCTCCTCACCTGTTCTGAGACGCAAACTGTGCGGGACTGAGAGGCTGTCTGCTGGTCTGGGGCTGAAACTTCAAGCTCATCTCCAACACGGTACAGACGTGAGCCAGTTCAGTTTTCAAGCAAGACAAATAGCTACTGCCCTTTCCAGCTTTTATGTCCTCCAGCATTTTTTGCCTTGCATGTTAATGGTATAATAAATGTTGGGGAAAGCTGGTCCAAAGTAGCAACTCCAGATGCCTGGGGGAGCATCAGGTCCAGAACTAGACAACAGTCATACAGCTTGGGCCCGTGCTAAAGAAAACCAGACCACAAACGTCCACATTCACTTCCTTCCCTGTAACTTCTGGGAAGTTCAGAATAAGACCTAACTCTGGATCCAGATCCCTATCTGTGACTGAGCCTGAGCCTTATCTCTCTCATGTGTTTCTTTTCCTTTCCTTCTTTAGTTTCTGTGGCCTTTCCTGTTTCCTGTCACGCTGCAGGGCTGCGAGCTGCCTGCAGCCTACACAGCACCGCCACCCATGGGCATGGAACAAGGCGTTCCTGGATGCATGTGGGTGCTGCGTGCCTGCTCAGGGTGCTGTGGGCACAGCAAGCGAGCTCCCATTCCCTTGGGCCAGGAGCGAAGGCAGGAAGGGCTGCTGTCCTTCCCCAGCACTCGGCACTACGGCACTGTGGCCCAGCCCCACGCCACCCCATACCTTCACGCCACACTCGTTGACGGGGTGGAGGTGCGGGCAGGGCAGAGTTGAGAGTACTGCTGCTGGAAGCGGTCGGCGATTTTCAGCAGCTTCTTCTCCTCCCGAGAATTTCTCTTATATGACGATGGTAACTGGGATGTGTCAATGGAGCTCCAGTCAAAATCACTTCCAGGGCAGGAGGAGGCAGAGAGACACAGGTAAGAAGCCAGGAGCAATTCAGGCAAGATGATCTGCTATCAAAATACGGCAGGGGCTCCCTGTTTCCCAGGGAAAAAATGGGGATCATATCCAAGAACATGATTTTGACACAGCCAGGCTTCTCTGGAGTGATAACAAGGTGACATACAGCCAGAGGCTCAGGGGATTTTTGTATACTGTCACGATACAGCAGCCAATGAACGTACAATGAAGTGAGTTATCTTGTCTTCTCACACGTGCCCACTCTTGCACAAACACACCGGGCATGCGAAACTTCTTCGCTCCCCTCCCTGTGCAAGGGGACCACACGTGCCACCCACACACGAGCAATCTCTCCCAGGACCCCAAAGAGCCCATCCCTGCTCATCCCAGTAAATGACAGACACACGTGACTTACGGTACATCACTCGGGACACAGACTTGCTCCACAGACACCTTCGCCTCCACGTCCTGAAGATCATCACTGATGGCCAAAGCCTTCAGCTGTTCTACTCTCTGCTCCACTTCCTCCCTCTCCTTCAGGGCCTCCATTCTGCCTCCTCCTGGGCACTACAGAAACGCACACAGCAGGGTGAGTTCAGAGGTGGGACCCAGACACACAGCAACACAAACACTCGCACTCTGGCCTCAGTGATTCACTGC